TTTCAGCAGGTTCTCAGGATGCAGGTGGTTCCCCAGGGGAAGCAGCGCAGGTGTTTGGATAGGTCCCCTGGGATCAGGTTCTAAGACCAGCAGGGAACAGGGCCCCACAAGGTTTCCTGCTTCCATCTGAGGCACATGGAGAGGTGGGAGCTTCCAGGCTCAAAAAGAGGCAGCGCCACAGGGTCCAACCTTACACCTCCATGTGCAGCCATGACAATGAGAAGCAAGCGGCTATCTGCCCCCAAAAGGCTTCTCCTGGGGCACAGAGAGGGGCTGATCACCCTCAGGTGAGGTCTGGGGCCTGGACTCTGTGTTCCTCACTCAGCACTGCATGGAGGGTGGGGGACGTCACTCTCAGTGAGGGGACAGGAATCCCTACAATGTCTTCCTTGTCAACCCAGAGATTGACCATCAGGGACATGGTGACAGGAAGGGCACAGATGAGAAGTCGACCAGATCTGACACACAGCCACTTCCTGCTTTTTTCCAGCAGAGAATCTAATTAAAGACACAAAGAAGGAAGAGGAACTGCCCCAGGGACACTAGGAGGGAAGAAAGCATTGGCCCCAATAGGAAGCCCTCACAACCCTCCAGGGAAAGCCTCTGAGCTGGGACCCTGGGTTTGCTGGTCCTGAGCGCCCCCTGGTGTCCTGGACGCTCCGTGCAGCCCAGCCCTGCTGTCTTCCTCAGGGAGGTTAGTGTCTGGGCTCACACTGACTCCCTCTCACTGTGTCTCTTGCACAGTAATACACGGCCGTGTCCTCGCCTTCAGGCTGGTCATTTGCAGATACAGCATGTTCTTGGCGTTGTCTCTGGAGATGGTGAAGCGGCCCTTCACAGAGGTGTTGTAGTATATGGGGTTACCATCACCATTACTAGTGTATGCGACCCACTCCAGCCCCTTCCTTGGAGCCTGGCGGACCCAGTTCATGCGATAGTCCCTGAAGGTGAACCCAGAGACTGCACAGGAGAGTCTCAGAGACCCCCCAGGCTGCACCAGGCCTCCCCCAGACTCCACCAGCTGCTCCTCACACTGGACACCTGCAAACACAGAGACACAAGGTGGACTGAGAATCACCTTGTCATCCTAGGGGCGACCCCAGATGGGAAAGGACTCAAGGATGCTGGCCACAAGGGGACCCGTCTTGACCCCCCTCCCTCTCTCCTTTCCTGGGACCAGTCACCCTGACCCCATTCCTTTGGGGGCAGCTTCCAGGATTGAGAGTCCTCCTTCCTTGGGGTTTTGATGACGACCCAGGGGTGCTCCCCCAGAGGCACGTGGATGGGGCCTTCTCTTTCTCCTTCACCCACTATGGGCCATACTGCCTTTCTGGAGTTTGGGAATAAGAATTTGCTTTGGATGATGCTTTTGTTTTGAGACTCAAAGATTCTCCTTTTATTTTCCTCAATCAGATCATCCACAAAACTCGAATCTCTACATGTGAGGAGGCAGGAGAGGCTGGGCTGGACGCTGTGGTCGCAGCCTCCATCTCAAACCTGCTGCCACTCTCACAAGCACACAGCTGCCTCCTGAAACCACACATTTCACTCAACTTCCCTGCTATTTGTGTGCAAAAGTCCTGCTTCCAGCCTCTCAAAGTGGGAGAATTTCCATAATTTACATGTGTAACTCTGATTTGTGGTGGGGACTGGCAGTCTGGAAGGGATCAATGGGGAAAAAGGGGGACATGTGTGATACTGACAAGAACAAAAAATTGTTAAAAAGAAGCAAGTTAGATAATTTAATTTTGAAATGGAGTCCTGGCCCTCGTCAGTTTCACTCAGTGTATAGAGTGTTGGCTTTTGAACCAAAGGGTCTCGGTTTGATTCTGATCATGGGCACGTACGTGGGTTGCAGGCTCATCCCTGGCCCTTGCCCTGGTTAGGGCACATGTTTCTTTCACATCAATGTTTCTTTCTTCCCCTCCCTCCCTTCCACTCTCTCTGAAAAGCATTGAATAAATATCCTTGGGTGAGGATGAAATAAGATAAAAAATGGAATATGATGGCTCTTAGAAGCAAAACCCTGGGTAGAGAGTTGAGGCACCAAGTCGTCCTTAGGAGCAGGTGAGCACCGCCCTTCTCAGAGGAGAGCGACCACCTGTGTCCATCCTCCCACAGCCCCAGGTGAGGACAGACAGACACAGGAATCTGGGACTGTGGTCACTTGTTCCTCTGGGAAGGCGGCCACCACCACTTGGGAAGTGCAGTCACGCTGGGGAGGGGGTGGGGCATGGGAGGTCAAACACCACAAAGCCTTCCTTCTCTCTACCTTTTTTAAAATACGGCTTTTAAAATTGATTTTAGAGAGGGGAGTAGAGTGATAGAAAGGTAGATACATCAAGAGAGACAAACGTGGATGGGCTGCCTCCTGCTGTAAATCTAAAAACATTCTGTTATTTCTGCCTGGTTGGTTTCTGTGATTAGGCTGCTCAGACTACCATGCCTGCCCCGGCCTAAGGTCCACCTGTATTTGTTTCCCATGGAACCAGCCCACAACACAGACATGTGCCCCGAGCAGGTCTCATCATGTGACATTGTGGTTCCTATTTGGATGCTCAAACCCTGAGCCACACCCCTGGGATCGTTCCCTCTCTGAGTAGCATGTACTTGACTCGGGTTCGCTCAGCTGCTGTCAGTCTCTGACAGACTTCAAGAGCCTGACAGATGCCAGTACTGATTGCTTCGGTTTGTTTTCTGATGTTTTTATGGAGGAACAAGAGTTTGGAGCTGCCTACGCCACTATTTTGCTTCTGCCCCTTCCGCTCAGTGACTCCTTTTGAACAAACAGAGAATGAGAAGGGAGAAGAGCAACCGCCCTGGAAATGTACCAACAACAGAGAAAACAGAGGGCCCAGCGCCCATCCCAGCCCAGCAGAGGCAGGAGGAGGGGCCTGGGCTGAGCAGTGACTCTGGTGTTTGTGAGGAGACCCTGTGTTTTAGGAAGATGAGCTTCATGTTCCTGGAAGACCCCAGACACACATCCAGAAGGGGCGGCTTTGAGAGTATTGAGCTTGACGGGCAGGCAGACTGGGCAGGTTTGATGGGACACAAAGGCAGGTGGAGGGTAGGCAGGGCAGACACAGCAGTCTGAGCAGCCTAACCACAGAGACCAACCAGGTGGACATAACAGAATGTTTCTGGACTCAGAGTGAGAGGCCTGGGAAAGGAGGTGGGGCCTGCAACAGTGAGGTGAATGCACACAAGGGAACAGGAGTCGTGCAGGTCCCTTGCTGGGCAAGAAGAATTGGGGGCCAATGAGGTTGGCACACGGGTGGACACAGAGCAGGCTGTGGCACATGTTCACCTGAGACCGCAGGCTTCAGGGGCAGCCCATTAGTGGGCCCCTCCCCATGCCCATGCCAGGAGCTTGAATCTGCTTGTAATAAATGCTCCACGCTTTTGCTTAAATCTTCTGGTCCCGATTTCATTCTTGGACTTTGGGACACAAGATCCCAGGGACAGAAAACGATGGGCTCGCTGTTCCGGTTATCAAGTTTGGCTCAAATAAACTCTTAAAAATGTTCCACACAGGCTTAGAGGTTCTCATGTCAAAGACTTCAAAGAGGTTCATTTATGTTGTGGATTTTATGCCAATTCAACCAGCAGGGAAACCTGCCAGAGTGTCACAGTGGGAGACGGAACAGCTGGGGAAGCCTCCTTTCTTTACTTCTCCTTTTTTATACACTTTCCTTGACTCCAGAGAGGACGTCAGTGGAAGTCATGGAAACTTCAATGATGAGAATCCTTGATTGGCTGCCTCCTGCCCCCAACCCCTGGAGATCGAGACTGCAACCCAGGCATGTGCACTGACCAAGGAATTTAACCCTGACCTCATGGTTCATAGGTCGATGCTCAACCTCTCAGTCATGCCTGCTGGGCTGGAAAAAGG